CAATTGTACTACTGCCTGCCTCGGCCAGGACACTCTTGTGTTTCTGGTTTAAGAAAGGTATAATAAAACAATTTAAAATCTAAAACTGTAATAGAACATAATGCAGAGCAGCTCTCAGCTTTCAGATATGTTTCTCCTGTAGATCAACTTTTAATATCATCACTGCTGAATCAACACACGTGCAGACGTTACTGATTGAGGTAACCTCTTTAAATGTGCATGTGTCACCTTTTTACCTCATCAATAATAAATTAAATCAGTTTTAATTGAGGTAAAAACTCCTGGACTTTAATAGCTCCTGTGTTTCAGCAGGTTTTCTGCTCATGTTCAAAGTTCTGCACATTCAGAATCTAACTGGGTTCTTTGACATTTCCAGAATAAAGGATATTTTGAGAGGTCGAACAGGATAAATCATCATAAATATTGAAATCAATCCGCCTGCATGCCGCACCGTGTGGAAGGGATCCATAGCACGGATTCTGCAACCCGTTGCACCACTACTATCCATGGTAGTGTGGGGATGTTTTGTTGTGCAGGATCACAGCCCCTGTGTGTCCACATGAGGAAAGGTCAAGATAGGCTATCAGAGTAAAAATGGACTGTCTATTGCATCAGACTAGGCAATTTGATGAGTTTATATTTTTTTAAGTAGCCCATTAAAATATTCCTGCAAATGCAGTGAAGAAGCTGATTATCTGTAATTTAGCTGCTTCTACAATTATTTTCCTTTTTAAATCTCCATGAAGGTGTTTATAAGATCACTTTAAAATAAAACTTTTGCTGCACAGCCAACTTTTGTTACCTTTTATTATGGAGATGTAGCCAACCAAACCACTTGCTTTGCAGTGCAGCTCACAGCCGCTTCAGGTGGAGCAGAGAGGACAGACACAGCTACAGCTGGATCATCTTATTCTCGCTAATGTGCAGGAGAATAAGTAATAACAATAATCTCTAGTTAAGTGAGCGAGTAAAGATTAATTTAAAAAAAAATCCTTCTGCGGTCCGGGGCTGTTCAAAAAACAACAACCCAGGGCTAACAACGCCGCTGTTTAGCGAAGTTTGCGGTGTTGCCAAAGTATTTCACTGTCTTTGCTCACACAGAGCAACATTATTACCTTCACAGCTGAAACTCAGCCAGACGTGCCTGTCTCTACAGTCGGCCAGAGTCAGTGTTCAGTAGCGGGAAATGTAAAACGTCAAAGGGGGGGAGCGTGACGTCTGTGTGTTCAGCTGAAGACTCATTTAGCATCAACAACATTAATTAACTTCATCACATTAATTCTGGTGTGTGTGTGTTTCAGGACACGCCGATCGTCCTGAACAGGAAGAAGAAGTTTGGGAGTCGCGGGGCGGCAGATTTCAACGCTGACTTTGAGTTTGGAGAGAGAGACGTGCTGGACCAGGACGAGGACTGGGTGATGGCTGACGTCATGAAACAGCTCAAGAACAAGGTAGAACCTGCAGCAGTGTGCTGGTTAAGTCATTGCTTTAGTTCACATCAGGCGGGTCCTGGCCCGGTTTAGGTTCCACTTTATTTGTCCAGCACATTTTAATAACAAGGCAGGTCAGAGTGCTTTAAATGAAACACCTGAACGACACGAAGCAGCGAAACAGAAGAGTTACAGAGAAAATGGAAGAGATGTAATCAAACTGGATTTAATAAAAGCACAAAGTCTTTAGTCCTGATTTAAAGAACTGAGAATTTGAGCAGAGCTGCTAGTGCTAGTGCTGCTGCTGCTCTTGGTGGCAACTGTTGGGCTTCATGGCTTCAAGTCCATCATACAGTTTAATGCAACCCCTGAGTCTCAGTCTCATCAGCTGTTCTGCTCAGTTCACACTTTCTTGGTCACCAGCATGCGGCCCCTGGCGGGAGTTACATGTCTAAAGATACTGAACTCTAAAAATGGCTTCCTGTCCAAGATGTTATGTTAGGGGTGAAAACGATTTCTAATGGAAAATAACGATGGCGGCCTCACCATATTTTAGAGAACTTGTTTTTTGGTCTCAAATGGCATGTGGACATGGTTTGAAGAAAATGACTACAGAATGACCCAGGAGTGTTTTGGTTCTGTAACATTCTCCTGCAGTGTTTTTAACTGTGTTCTGTGTTTGCAGAGAACTGCAACTACTCTGGATCAGAAAATAGAGAAAATCCGGAAGAAGAGGAAAGCTGAGGTGAGTCCACTGTAACGTTCTACTTCCTGTCTTGTCCGGTTCCACGTCCTGTTTTAATCGGGATTTGGTTTTGATCTGCAGGAGAAATCCGCTCAGAGTGATGCTGCTGAAGGTTCTGCAGGGAGAACCAGGAGGAGGAAGACGAGGAAGATGTGAAGCCTCCTGCAGGAGAGGCTGATGGAGGTGATGAGGAGGATGAAGAAGATGAAGATGAGTTTGACTCGGCTGATGAGGAGATTCTGACCAAATCAGGTTAGTTCAGCAGAACCTCATCAGTTTGTGTGGAGCAGATTCAGTACGTAGCCCTGCTGTGGATCCTGGGACCATGATCAGGGAAGGGCCGCAGTCGGCGCCACTTCCACGACCATCAGAAGTCCCAAACATTGTGCCAAAACAGAACAGCAGCACTGATGTTTCGTTACAGTTCAGTCGGATCAGTTAGTTTCCAGCTCAAATAACAGGCTGACGTGTGCAGTACCTCTTTAAGGTAGACAGATCTATAATATTTATTATATTCAAGATACTGCAGTTCAGTTGGTAAGAAAG